CCGAATTAAGGTCTGTAAACACAGAACACGACTCCCGTTTAGGCAAGCCGGCAAGCGGCAATGACGAAGTGCCGTGGCGAACACAATAGTTCGAGTGTGCATCGGATGATGGATCTCTATCACACTCTGCCCCAAGTTTCACGCCTTCAGAAATAAAATCAAGAGAAAGTGCTCAATTTTCGCTGATGTATTGACGCAGGCGCAAGGCTGCACAATCCTCTAGATATATAAGCTGTTTGAAATGCCGAGACTCGATTTAAAATGGGACGTAAAAATCGGCGCATTCACGTAACAATCTAACCGTTTCGTGAAAGATGTATTTCACAGGTGAGTTTTACATTGTAGAAACGGCGACGCAGACGATTGAGTCGAGCGGCGAGGCGCGGTTGACGCACGTATTGATAGATGGCGATAAATCCTTGATCCGGCTGGCTTAAATATATATATATATATCGAGACATGCTGTCGCGACGACCCGGGTCTATTAATATGAATATGATATTTTTGTAATGTACCGTTGGTTTAAAAATAAATGCGGACAATGATAGCAAATCTTGAAGTAACAAAAAGAAGAGAAACGCGGTTGCATGACAACGTCGCTCTTGCTACCGACTGATTTCGTCTGCGTGTCGTCTGCTTTCTGTGGCTGTTCGGCTACACGTTTCGACGTATTCCGACGCTGCTCCCGACACCATATGTCAATAGGTGCGCCAAACGCGCCCCGCCACTCGACTCGGTCGTCTGCGTCGCCGTCCGCCGTTGACTCTAGCAAGTATTTTATACCCATATTTTTTTTTACAGAAAGGGAGCTACGCCGTGTAATTTTACAAGGTAAAACCCACCTAGGAAATACACCTCTGACGAAAAGTTCAGATCGCTACGAGCAGGCGCCGATTTCTATGGCCCATTTTAGATCGAGCATCGGCAGTTCGGACCCTCTGGGACATCGATGCTGCAGCCACCTGCAGTGGTGGCGGAGCGTGCGTTCACCGCCTTTCAAAATGTCGAGTTCACACCAGGAGTACTGGCTTTTACGACAGATTTGATCTTCGTAAATATTTATGTCATTTAGACTCTGTTTAGCCTTCCACCCAAATGAAGGAATCCAAAGCACTGATGTTTTTCCTGCCGTCATCGTAGTATATGAAGTCCGTATTTCCCTTACAAAAAATGAATAAATAAGCGAGTTTCAACTGAAAGTGTAAAGGATTCACACAATACACCGCGTTAAGTCTCAATTGAAACTCAATAGTTTTTTTTAACGAATTCCCATTGAACCGGCACAGGATATTGGCCACTGAGTTTTAATTAAATGTTTAGCAATTGCATTTCAATTAATGTTTTGGCAATAGTCTTTCACTAGAAATTTTCCTGTGACTTTCAATAAAATATTTGCAATTGAAATTCAGTTGAATTTTTGCAACTGTGCTTTAATATATTTTTTTGCAACTGTGTTTAAAAAAAAGATATTCGGCAAATCGTATAATTCCTTAAAGTATTGAACATGGTTGAAACGAAGCACCACGAAGGAAACGGAAACAAACATCACAAAGCACTGACAGCAAACTCTTTGAACTTCCCTTGGCTAGCCCACCGCCTTATATACCCTTCATAAGAAAGGTATTCATTTGGCCGGTGACCACCTCAGCATTTATTAAGGTTCCAAGTTTGCTATTTCCTCCTCGGAATTGTGATAAATGATAAGCACCGTTTCGACGTCATTGGACTCTATCCCTTAATTTAAAAAAATTGGTGCAAGCAATAATCGTTCGGTGTAGTGGCTCAATCCACAAAAGCGATTTCTCGCTGGTATGTTATCGCTTCTCTGCATAGCACCACTCAGGACAAGACGAGGCACGGTAGTTCCTCGCTTTCAAATATTTCATTGCTTCTTTTCTTTACGGAGTGACTAATATAATAGGCTCAGTGATGTCACCATAGTCACTGACAAGAGTGAAACCGGCATGGCGTGTCTTTCAAACACCTGGCCTTCAGCACGCGCTCCATGCCTTCCACCGTGTCTTGACAGCGCGCGCGCGCTTAATGTGCACGAGACGTTGAAGCGTTTTCGAGGGGGAGACTCAAGCTTGAGGGGAGACAAGTGAAGCTCCTCCCTGTTCTCACCATGTCAGTGACCTCAGAGTTATTATAATGCACGCTATGCTCTCGAAGGTGGCAAAAGGATTGGGTCTCATTTCTTGCACAAATGAATCTGAGGAAATATGTTTGTTCTGAGAGACATACGTGTACTCGTCGTTATTTGCAGCTGTGCCCTTGCTAGGTTCCTCAACAGCAAAGGGCACAAATCAGCTGATGTCAAGTACTCAATGACAAAAACTCATTTGAATCTCTAATGAGGAGACACAGACATGTCTGTCAAGTAATAAAACTGAAGTGCATGTTCAATGACTAAGCTAAAAATAATGAATAACAAAACTTATTTATGTATCTAATGAATAAACTTAAAATAATCAAGATTGAGCTCTTAATAATGAAACTCATTTGCAAATGTATTCAGTAAATTCAAAATAATCGATATTGAGTTCTTGATGATACAACTCGTTTGCATATCTAAAGAGTAAATTCAAATGAATAGATATTGAATTCATAATGAGCAAGCTCAATTGCATTCTTACTAAGGAAATTAAAATGAATGGATATTGAGTTCTAAGTGAGCAAACTCAATTGTATTCTTAATGGGTAAATTCAAAAGAATATATATTGAGTTCCTAATGAGTAAACTCAATAGCATTCTTAATGAGTAAATCCAAAAGAATATATATGGCATTCTTAATGAACAAACTCAATTGCCTTCCTAATGAGTAAATTCAAGAATATAAATTGAGTTCTTAATCACCAAACTCAATTGTATTCCTAATGAGTAAATTCAACAGAATCGATATTGAGTTTGTTATGATGAAACTCATTAGACGTTGAGTTTTTATTGAGTTTCAATTGACTCTATAATAATACATTAGAAACTCAGTTGAAGCTCATTGATATTTTTGTAAGCGTTATAGCACGGAGCGACGAATCGGCCACTTCGTTCCAACGGTCACTGTCGAGTGAAATACCCCTTATAGATTGGGTTCCGTGTTTTCGGTATACGAACCCCAAACCCTGGAGCCGGTCTTATCAAAATCGGTAAAAAACCGAAAAACCCTAAATTAAAACTGTCCTTGAAAAAAAAATATAAAAAAATAAACGAAGTTTTACGGGAAGAAATGTTTGATTTTATTTTTGACCCGGAACACAGCCCGCACTGAACTTTCCGCGAGACTGCTGCTTTCTTCGAGAGCACTTTTCTTGTTGGGACGCTTTCCAAGCGGGCCACATACATGCTTCCTGGAGTGTGGAGAATCCCGCAGCTGTGCCCTGTTCTCTCTAAGACAATCCCCAACGGACGCCAATTTCTTGCCCGACACCGAAAATAGACAGCAAAAAAAAAAAAAAAAAAAAAAAAAAAAAAACATTTATTGGGTAAAATAAACCGCGAAGAAACAGCCCCTAGTCAGAAGAAAAATAAACCCCGAAAACACATAGCATATAATGCCACGCGCACCTCCGAGCAAGCGCGCCCGTGGCCGAATGGTTTTCGTTCTTGGCTCCCACGCGAAAAGCAAAGGTTCAATGCCTGGGAGCCGACACACCTTCTGTCGCGTTCTAGGGAATTCGAGAACCCTGCAGTTTCTTATTCGAGGTCTGAATGTTCTATGCGACGAACCTTCTACGCCGATTGTTCCGTGTGTACGCAAGGGAGTCAGTCTCGCCCCAGCGCTCGATCCTGCTGCTTCGCCGACATCGACACCTGCGGCGCTATACTTCGTCTCACCCTACGATGGACTAAAGGCAAAAGCTACGAACCGCCAGATCCAATCACGAGCCACTCAAAAATTGTGCGGTGTTTCGCTTCGATGCAGGTATCGGTGCCCGCCTCTCGGATCACTGATACGGGGACGGGTGAACAGTGGTTTGAATCGAAGAGCACTGAGTGATTCAACAATATTACATCGCAAAGAAAGCCATGACATATATAGGCTCTTTGCAGCGTCGAAGCTATAAAAATGATGGAGCGATTTTGGATTCGAGCATTATTCGTCCACCCCTAATCAATGTTGAGCGTGTCATAGTAAAGCGCGGAACGTGATTGGAGCTGGCGGCCCGTGGCTTTGGTTTTTAGTCCATCGTGGGATGAGAGAAAGTATAGCCTTTTTCTATTTTGTTTTGGGGCAAAAGTTCGTCCCATTAAGCGTTTAGCTTCCTTTGGTTATTCGTCGCCTCATCAATGTCATTCGTGAGAATATTATGCTGTATACTCTCAGCTCACAACACTAAATGGCTCAGGGCGATCGCTTGTTTATCCCAGAGGAACGCTATTTGGCGGTGACAGGGCTAGTCTAATTTTCCGAGGCAAGGCCAGTCGGTATAGACTGTAGCGCCTCAGACTGCTGGGGCGAACCTTGCGCAGATGTGTCCCTTGCGACGCTCACGCAGAGTCTCATCTTCCGAGCCATTCCATAAATTTCTTCATTTCGGCTCATGCCGTCTTTTCAGCAACGGACTCTCCTCGCTTCACACAATAGGCTAGTCTTTAAGTCATTACGGAGTTGTAGTACACCGTTTCCGCAGCCCGCTAAGCACCCGAATAGCGCTCCGTTATCCGCCACAAGACATTGAACTTTCTAGACAAGGCTGGCGGCGCGCATGCGCAGCTGTGGTATTTTTTTTTTTTTTTTTACGGATATTGTAGCGGGGAAGAAAAACGATCTACTACAACTCCCTATCGATAACCACGCCGGTAATTTCTAACGCAGAGTTTCAGTTGCATAAAAAAAGAAAAAAAAAACACACACACACACACCAACGAGTGCAAGTTGATAATAGCGAAGAATCCTTCCTGTCCACCGAGCTCGCTCGTGTTCCGCTACGATTTATGTTGCCGTTTGCCAGATCGCTGGAGAAGCTACGCTAACGTTCCCCGCCCTCGTTTTCTTTTGCAGTCCTTCTTCGGCCGCACGTACAACAACTTGGCGGCGCTGGGCGACTGCAAGAACAGCGGCCAGTGCGTCATCAACAAGAAGAACAGGACCTCGTGCAAGAGCTGCAGGCTCAAGAAGTGCCTCATGGTCGGCATGTCCAAAAGCGGTAAGGCCGCCCCGAGATATTCGACCGGTCGGGAACACGAGACCTCCCACACTGCCGCGGCGTCCTCGCCCACGGGGAGAGGGGCTGCAGCGGCGTGACCTGCAGATAAAAAGTGGCGCATAAATATCGACGCTTGCAGGCTTCCGTTCGATTGCGCGTTTGCACGCCTAGCGATGCTCGACGCTCGGTTGCATGCAGCCGCTCTGTCGCCGAGAGGCGTGAGCTCTTTAGAAGCCGAACGGTAGAAAACAAAGTTCTTGGCGGTGTTGGTTCCAGCCTCGTACTTTAAAAGGTATACGGCGCCTCGCAATTTTCTTGTTTATGGTTTCTGTTCAATCTTTTACTAACGTGCTCATTAGGAATGTACTTTAGAACGAGTCTTTGAGGAACAACAACTAAAGCTACCTAAGGTTTCTTCTACGTTTTGGCGCCAATATCTTGAGCGGTATTACGGGCTTATGGGCCTTTGTCGGTCTATCTCGTATTAAACTTATATTAACCATCTTTGAACAAAGAGAACATTCACTACCTATTCTCGAAAACCGCATAAAAAGTTTATGAACTATATAAAACGATTTTTTTAATATAAAAGCCTTTCGTTGACCGTCCTCGTTTCACAGACTCGTGAAAACACTTAAGTAACGAGAACCAAAGTTCATGGGTTTATTGGGCGGTTTCAAAGAACAATATACGATTATAACATGAAACTAGCCCACATGGAGGCACCTTTCAAAGTTTTAGGTGCAGGTTTCCCTGGTGATGTACCTTCGAACCAAATTCCAACTCGAGGTATGCGTGAACGTACAAAAAGCGTTTCATACAGCCAGACACACTTCGCTGCCGCTTGTTCAGCTTGTCAGACGGATTTGGTTTTGACCACCTCTTTCTATCCACTAGTTCAAACCCTTACAAGTGCATTTGGCTGCAAGTGCGCCAAACCATGTAATGTTGCATTTACTAACATTCTGCGTTCTGAAATTCTTCTCTCAGTCATTTCCTGTAATTCTTCCCTCTATCATTTTTCAGTGTCAAAGCCTCCTCGTGTTGAAAGCTTCCAATCGCTTGAATATCAACCCATGAGCTCCAAAGCGGCAAAATAACAAACAGCTCGAAGAACAAGTGGGAGCAGCTGAGCTAAACACATTATTTCAGCAAAAAACAACAAGTGGGAAGTGGGCTTGAGAATATGACCCACAAATTAACGAGCACCGCAAATGAGCAAGACAATTGAGCAGCATTCTGTTGAAACGAAACGTTTTCCATGAAAATACAGCATAACCATTTCTGCATCAATAGCAAGGCCCCCCCCCCCCCCCCCAAGTCGGGACCTCACTCCGTTACAAAACGCTCAGACGCCTCTCTGCGACGTGACACTGAGGCTGACGTGAGGGCGTGAAACGTCATGCTCGGTGTCAGATAACAGCCGTCATCTTTCGGGGAAGATGAATTGGCTCTCCGAGTGCTCTGCAAGAGAGGAGACTCACGGAGTTCGGTTGCATAGAAGAGTCCCGTGTTTTGAGCCGCTCATCAATAATTCGAGGCGGTTCTCTGCGCCATGCAGGCACCGTGAGATAAGGGAGCACCGCTCACCGTGGCTTTCGCCTCCTCAGAGTAACGAGGAAGCCAATAAACGCCGAGTATTTGCACAAGGGTAGAACGGGTCCAGGCAGCTATACCGCAAGGCCGCCCCGCGCGATCGGTCGCAGAGCAATACGCACCCGGGAAACAGGTTTGGTGCCAGGTTCGACCCCAGCCACCGAAAGCCGTGCACCCTGCGACCTAATGCCAAATCGCGATGCGAGGCAAACCTAACCTCGTTGGTCGGCAATGGGGTCGATCATGGACCCGGCTAAAAACAAAAGCAACAAAAACAGAAGACAGCCAGTGCAAACCGCGATTCGCGAAACTGCTGCTCTGCTAATTCGAGTCTCACACGGTTCTGCCTTAGCTTCGATGTACGAAATTCATCACGAGACGAACGCAATTTCTCTAAGTGGAACGCGCCCCTGCTTAGTGTTCAAGATGGCGGAACGAGCCCGCGAAAGCGGCGCCAGATTACCTATGGCACGACACAAGGCTTCTGTTTTGTTGTGCGAGGAAGGACACTTGTGTCAGAGTGGTTACGCAGGCTGGTTCCGGTGGGAAATCGCCGATCTTTACGCATCGCTGTCTTAGATAGCCCCTTGGTATCAGGCCTTCATGCCTCCCTGGCTGCCCGGCCTTGACCACAATATGGAACGCGGTTCCCGCTGGTCTTCCGTGACTGTGTCCCGTTGCTGCATCCTTCCGATGAATCGGCTGCTTTTTGATGGCACTTTTATGTCGGAATCCTACTGGCTGACTTTCGTCAGCCAGAGCGTTTGTAACCTTGCCCACAATTAGTCGCGCGTAAGACGAGGCGTTCTTATGTCAGCCACCTTAGCCAGTATATAGCTGTTCCTTTTCTAATCCGCAGTGTAATGTTGTTTCCCGGCGCAGGCTCCCGGTACGGACGGCGCTCCAACTGGTTCAAGATCCACTGCCTGATCCAGGACCAGGCGGAGATGAACTCGCGCATCGCTGAGCAGCATCAGTTGGGCGGCGCGGCTCCGCAGCCCCTGACAGCTTTGTACGACAAGGACATGCTGGGCCACCACTACGCAGCCAAGGCGGAGGAGGCCAACGGCACGAGTTCTCCGCTGTGGTCGTCGGACAAGCCGCCGTCGTCGCCGGCCTCCTCGTATCCCCCGCCATCGTCGTCCGCCAGCACCGTGGCATCAACGCCGACGGCCTGCGAGACCAAATCCTCGAACGGAGAAAGTCCAACGAATACCGACGCATTCGCCTACCATCCCATGTCGCCCGTGTCGCCCATCTCTCCGTTGCATCCGAGCAAATTCTTCTTCCACCCTGGCGCCGGCGTGTTTTTCGGCAAGGCGCCTATCACTCACAACGGACTGTCCAAGCTCTACGCCGAGGGTGGCGGCGCCATTGCCTATCCGTACTCCCCCCGGTACCTCCCGTTCGGCCCGGTCAAACCGTACCGGGACATGCTGCACCCGTCTACGCTGGTCGTCAACGGCGAGTGCCTAGCCGACTTGCCCGAGCAGGAAGGGCCCATTGACTTGTCCGTCAAGAAGGCTCCCTCGCCCAACGCCACGCCAGCCCGTGAGGGCGACGGCCAACTCGCCGGAGAGGACGAGGACGTCAAGCCCGCGGTCTTGGCGCCGTCCTCCTCTTGGGCCGTCGCCGAGATTCCGCTCGACCTGAGGAGCGCGAAAAAGTGCTAAGGGACCCTGCCGGACGCCCGCCCTCCGGCGTCGTTGTTCTTGTTCCCTCGAACGGGACCTCGCCGTTTCCGGGCGACGCGGGGGGCAGCCCGTCGTCCACGTGTTCATAGCGGACTCCGCCGTGGAGGGGAGTTTGCAGTGCGTGTCAAAGGTCTTATACTATGTAATATATACCCGCCAGACACACACACCTATACATACACACACAGCCAGGGAACACGGACAGGGAGGCTACAGATGCAACTACGTCCACCGGGGAAGCTCACAGGCCAGGATTCCCCCCCCCCCCCCCCCCTCCCCTTTTTCGAGCGTCACTTCCCGTCTTCCAGGTTGACCTGCAGCCGGAATCTTTTTTATCCTCTCCGAGGGCCGTTTTTCCACACACCGTTTACTAAGGGCATTGCAGAAGACTGTTTTCGTAGGCAAATGTTTCGTCTTAACAAGTCTTCTTACTCGTTCCTTTTTGTCTTCGCGTATCATGTTCGCAATGTTCCTATCGACATTCCATCTTCCAAAGGGACCACCGACCGTCGAACAATCATTCCAAAACCCTGCCTTCTTCGCCTATCACACCAGCATTCCCACTAATGTCTTGAGCGGCTAGCGTCAGCCTGCCATCAGTATTACGCAAACATCGCGGCCTCTGTGCCTGGGGTTCTCAGAAGATCCTTCCGGTCTGCACACACCCAGCTGGGTGACCTCTCCCGAGACCGCCCAACGCACTTAACAGAGAAGTCTCCGTGCGCGCACAGCGAACGCGTCGGCCCTCCATGAGTGCTTTCGAGAGACCCACCGGGGCTCAGATCAGTGACTCGCGTGCTGCGACACAACTCTCCAGTGGCGGCCAGGTTCATTGTACAAACCCACACACTGCATTCATCTTCAGAGAGAACCTCTCTACGCAGGACTCTGAAATTGTACTGTCGTTGTTTTTAAGCGTTTCTTCCATTCCCACTGTGATACGACCTTCGAACCAGGCGGTTCGCTTCGAGCCTTTATATATATAAATATATATGTCGATTTTGCGTACACACGCAACGGGGCTGTGGGCATTCTAGTACAAACCATTCCAAGTGACTCTCTCTACTTGCGGCGCTTGCATCGCTCTCTATTTTTTATGCACCGGGCACGTGAGGTCAGTACCTGATGGGGTCGCGTCGTCATATTGTCGTCCGCAGCGAAGAAGTGCCTCTTGGGCAGCATCCGGACCACACAGCCACGAGGGTGGCTTTCTCCCTTCACCCGCCCCGACACTTCCAAAATATTTTGGTTCTCCCCGTCCTAATTAATCGAATTTTCAAACCGTGCAAAATTAGCTATCTGACTGACATGTTTAAAGAAACAATAGAGCATATTTTTACTACGATTTGTCATTGATTTTGTCGCCAAACGGACTCGGCGACAATCCAAAGCTACATGGAACACAGCGTCAAATCGCTTCAGTGAGCGAAGCGCCTCGATCTTGGGGCTTCAAACGATCAGCGAATTTAATTGCTAAATCGGTGCCAACCTTGCGGTTCACTATACTCGTTGTCACAACAAGACAACAAGGAAGTTTTGCGCATTATTCACGCGCTGCGCGAAGTAGTTCTTACAAGATTTGCTTGCCGAAGGTAGAAACGCACATGCCTTGAATAAATTACATGTCTAATCTAAGGTGCACCAGCATATTTCTTAAGTCGACACCGGAAGGGGGAAATTAGTAACGTTCCGCGATTCGTGAGGTGAACACGAGTATAGCTGATCGGTTTCATCGTTCCCCAAGAAGACTGTAGACGCCTGCCTTACTACGAGGAAGTGCCAGCTGGCCCTAGTAAAAGACGCATGGCAAAGTAGACTGCGAGCTCTGTCCTTCTCGGCACGTGTTTACGCACCTTCTCGCATCTTGCCCAATTTTAAGTCATTTATTTCATGGAAGTTTAGACAGCAGGAAGTTAGTCTGCGCCAAAGGGCGTCGGACATCTCCGCAGGGCAGGGGCGGGACTCGAACCCTGAATCCATCGGATCTGCAACACGAGCTGTCGCTCCACGTGCTCCGAGACCACTAAGGAGCTTGCACGAGTGCTGGGTTGTGGAAATGGCATGCTGGGTTGTTGGTTCGTAAACACTGGAATGGTGCGTGGCAAGTACTACGGAGCAGAGTACTGTCTGTAACTCCAATATTTTGCATCAACAACGAAAAAGGAAGGAAAAATGAGCGCTGTCGTTTTCCCCACTTTCTGCCCTCATCTCTGTCTGGAAGCCCGACTACGTGAGAAAAAAAGCGAAAGCCATGGTACACACCTAGACTCGCTTCCCCTCAGCTCGCCCCTCTTCTGAACCTGTCGCGTGTCAGATGTCAAAGGAAACGAGCTCGTCTATGCAAGGCGAAGCCAGGTCTGGATTTGTAGAATGTAAATATTCGCGGATACGTTGCTTACTATCCTCTTTCTTCACCTCAGTCGAGTGAACGCATCGCTTCGACTGTGCCGTCCCACGACGCGCTGCTACGTTCTACTGTCTCTCAACGTAGTATTCTCGCTAAACGCCATTCTGTCAGACTTCCGTGCCGCAAACCCGTCTGATGCGCCCCCTTCCTCTACCCTCTTTTTGGCTATGCCGACAAGTACGCCCCCCCTAGCGTTGTGCGACGAACCATTTACAGCGGCGGCAGTGTACGGTAACCGTCTCAATGACCGCTTTAGCGCCCGACGTATTTATCGATTCACACCAACAAAGAACTTGCGGTAGAAGAATGAGCTTTTCTTTTTTTTTTTTTTCTGACAAAGCTGCGGTTTTTTCCCTTTCTACTTACTAACCAAATGATCTCGTAAAAGAGAAAATGAAAAAAAAAAGTCCGTTGTACCGACGACATGGCAGCGCAAGCGAAGTGGATGACGTGTTACTTCGCATTATCTCAAAGTCCGATGCGCCACCGGACGCCCAGAAGGGCATGCTTTATGTTTTTAACTTTTTTTTTAAATTTTTTTTAAGGATATCACAACTTCATCCGTCCCCTTCAACGGTCACCTCTCACAAAACATCGAGATCTGAGCATTGTTTATGCACGCCATTACCGCCTGAAACATTTCAACCATGCCACTTTCACTTTTTTTTTTCTTTACCCGGCTTTGTTTTCAACATGAGTCTCATTCGTGCGTCTATTTAAAAAAAAAAAGTGTATTATGAGTATATAAATGACAGACTACGGCTGTAACATTGTTAAAATAAACGATGCGTTGAGCGTTTTCAGTTTGCGTGCACATGTGTGTTGTCTTCTGCCCACAGTGAAGCAAGAAACACCCTTCTGTTCCCCTCTTTCGTCGTTGCCCTGCTTCCACGCCCATCGCACGGTTAATTAAATCATGTTCAAAAGGATAAAGAACACAGGATAAACTAATGATCACAGTAATCCGGCCGTCGAATTGACTTCACTATTCAGTCTTCTTTTATCGGTAACTGCTGAAAGGTATCCAGTTTCACGGCATGACAGCTTACGAGGTAAGTAACTTTTAAGCTTCGTGAAGTTAGTGGGCATCATAAAGAAATGTATTGACCGTGAGCGTTATAATTTAGCGCGACTCGCGTCAATATATATATATATATATATATATATATATATATATATATATATATATATATATACATATATATATATATATATATATATATATATATATATATTTTTTTTTTTTTTTTGCAATTTAAAGAAAACTGCGCGGAGGTCCGCTCTTTTAACTATTTTGGTACAGCGATGGAGTTTGAGAGTGACGGATTGCTCTTTCCACCGCCCGTAATTATATCTAACTCGGTAGAATACCGGGTCATAAAAACCATACAGCACCCCACGCAGCAAGAAAATGAATCCAGGAGGAAAGCTAACCTTGACTATAATTTCTACGTACGGTTATCAAATCAATGTTTGTTTGATGAAGTGAGCAAGTTTAATTGCCATATTCTGGAACCGGGTGAAACATTTTATAGCAGTATAGTGCAATAAAAACTACAAGCTTGTCCCACGCAGGCGTTACACATTTCAAAGCAGGGCGCTCTGCCACAAATGTTCTGCCTTCATGTCGACCATTTCCGTGCGAAAATTGCCATATTTAATTCTTACGTAGCTGGGATAGAGGTTATTTATTTTATGACTGGAAGAAGTGAGAATTGAAAGCGTACATTCTTAAACGGTAAAATGTGAAGGTTTCGCAACACGGTGCCGGCTCCTACATGAAAGGCAGCTCAATATAACAACCAAGAAATTCGCCAAGTTGCAACCTGCTACACCGGTTATACTTCCCCCGGCTGTCCTTTAATTACTGTGTTATATAATTGTGTTTATTGTTTTGTCTTCGTCGTGCAGGTGAATAAAGATATAATAAGTATACTTGTGTGAGATACTTTAAAAAAAAAAGAAGGAATTATCTGCTAGTGAAGCGCGTAATAAGCGCGTGCACACACGCAAAGATTCTTCAGCCGAGTTAAACTAGTTCTGTTCGGTCGGCGCTCGATTCACAAATTCGTAGGTGAAATTTCCTCAGCATCCGTCAAAAGTCCGGTAAGCTTTTCTCCGCATCGGATGGTTTTTGGGGTGAGCTTTTCTACGGTGAGTGTTTCTCCGGTGAGCTTTCTTCTTGTGAGCTTTTCTCCACCGCCCAAAGAGAATGCACTCATCTTGATTCGGCGAGAAAGATTTCAGGCGGCCAACGGATATGCTAAAATCAGCCACGTTGTTTTTGACAGATGACGCTTCAAGACGCTCAGAATTTCTCAGTTTTTAAAGTGTTCGCTGGCAAAAACGATTTTTGCCAGCGAACTTCAAGAAGGCCGACATTTATTCGGGAATCACCACGTTTGGTCTATTCGGAGCCCAACAGCCGTGTGATTTACAATACACGAGAAATGCCTGCCCGAAGTCATTGCGAAACGACTCAAGCAAGCGTACCCAAGCAAGAGTGTGAATGGGTTTTAGGAAGCGTGCTCGGGGGCCGCTCAACATAAGTCCTGGTCGTCCCGCAGGTGCA